AGTTGTTTATAAGGCTTTAAGTATTTTCTTTACATTTCAGCTCAAGGTATCTACAAAAATAATGTACATTTGAACATAAACAGTACTTTGATCTGTTATAAATATAGTAATAGAAAAATTGAAGCATTTCATCAAAAATCCAAAGTCAAAGGAGCACTTGTGCAGAACTTGCAACATTTACGGGCAGAGAGGAAGCCTGAAAACTAATACTGCCTGAGTAACGAGTGAGGGCCTGTGCTCTCGGACTTGTCCCCCTCTGCCTTCTTTTTTTGTATTTCGACTGTACACCAACATCCCCCTTATTGGCAGGATAATGATGTAGTACCAGGATCAATCTAATGGTAGAGCGAAGGGTTGACATACTGGGTGATTTTTAAAGGCCTGCCTTCAACTCATCTCCTGCGGGGAGCTGAAACGGTGATTGCTGCGAGTGCTTAAGAAGCACCTTGTTATGATTGCCTTTCAGCAGCGCGTCATGTTTTTTTTGTCTTTTTGTTCTGGCAGGCTAAGATGCTCCAGAATGCAGTGAAAAACAGGCTTCGTGGAGGTAAATCATTCGGAGTCCTTTTGGGATGCAGCAGATGCCTTTAACATTAGGCTGAGCTTTAGAGCTCTCAGATACTCCGTGTTGCACAGAAGCGGAGCTCTGCTCTGTATGTGTGGTGGGTGTCTTAAGGATATTAAATAGTAAAGGATGGGGATTAATAATGGAACCTGACAGCTCATCTCCGGCTTCTATCTGCCTGACTGTCCCCACAATCTTCCTCTCCAATCCCTCCCCAGCTCGCCTCCCCCCCCTCCTCTCTGTTTCTAATCCGCCGTGTTTCTCTCTGGCTCTGACCCTCCTTTGTGCTTTTCCCCCCAGCTCTTTCGTCTCTCTCCCTCTCAAGGACCTCGATCTTTCAGGGTCATGTCAGGAGAGTAGAAGAGGACGTTGGTGTCGTCGTCGTCGTCATCGCTCGGGTCGATAAGGTCCGCCTGTGTGTAGTGCACCGCCCCGGGGTAGTACTCTCCGATTCGCGTCCGGTCGCAGAGCCGTGACTGCAGAGCCAGCTGAAAAAGCAGACACACACACACAGGCAGATTGAAATTAGTTTTCCCCATTTGCCCTGGTTTAGACCGTTAACTTCAAAAAGCCTTTTTTCCTGTTTGCATTCTGGACATGACCCTGCAATGGCTCACAGAGGTTTTCATACCCATTGAACTTTTCTTTTTTTTTATGAGATACATCAACACGAAGCAGGCCAAAATATCTTAGAACTTTTTCTCTAATGAACAGACCGCCTTCTTCCTTCTGCATCACCAGCATGTAAGGTTATGGAAGGCACACCATCTACTGTAGCTGTCCTGTCAAAAGGTTCTCCAATCAGCTTCTGATTTCTGCAGTTCCTCCAGAGTTGCCATGGTCCTCATGCCCTGCCAGCTCAGATGCACTCCCATGTCTTTATTAAAACTTTCTCTGTGCCATCTCAGCTGAGCTCCTTTGCCTTCGAGATGCCGTTTTTTCCCCCTAACAAACATTTAAACCTTTGACAAACCAGAGGTATTTGCACTAGGATTAAATAAAGGAGCTCTATTTCCTAATATTAGTTATTAGGAGTTAGATCAGATGAGGTTGTATTTATGAAGTTTAGATATCACTTTTCAACAGCTTCTAAGACGTATATCTGCTTCTGTATCCTTGAATCCCAGTCGACCTCTGCAGGTACTGGTACTGCTGGAGGTCTCCTGTTAAAATTGAGTTTTCCTCTGCACTGTCGCTGCATGCATGCTTGGTGTCGAGTCAACAAGCATCACCTGGTTTTCCTTATATAAAAAAACTGAATTAATCTGACTCTGTGACTCTGATCCAGTTCTATCTGTAAAGTCCCACAAGATGACGTATGCTCTGAATTGGCACTAAATAAATAAACTGAATTGAAAACCATTTTCACAAGATGTCAGTTTGCTGCACACCACCCTAATGCAATACCCTGATGTTTTTTGATGTACCAAAATAATCAAAAGGTTAAATAGCGGCGATAGAGACCAACAAACAGTCAAAAAGTTTAAAAACTACTCTGTTTGATCTGTTTGGTCCAAAGAAAGAAACAATAAAAACATCAAGTTAAAAAAATAATAAAAAGCTGAATGTCTCTTATTTTTTCACTCTTTGTTTGAATTTCTCTCAGCATGCAATTTTGTAGTAGCACAAGGCCAATGCAGTGCTTAAAGACGCCCTCACCACCAATGATATCCTATGAAAGACCATTTCTGACTCATGCCTTGAATGTTATCAACCTTTCAATAACATGGTGTAAATAAATCCCATTTAAAATGCCGTATAAAGCTGCCATTTTCCAGCTCTGTTGGAACCAATCGGAGATCAGCTGCTTGTGACAGTAAAATGTTAACAAGCATATATGTCATTTAAAAATAGTGTCATTAAATCCGACAAGAGTAAAAACCTGATATTTATCTCAGTATACTTGGAAACAGATTTTGTATTGCATTATAATAAGAAAAGTATTCACTTGCCCCTCCAAGTCTTTAAATTCAGGTGTGGTGGTTCGATCCAGGGCTGCAGGTGGATAAAATGGAGCCCACAGTCATGTTGACTGAGTCTATTAAAGAGCGGGTCGCTCTAAGGAGGTGGACTCTATAGCTAAGCGAACTGGGATCTATTACGTGTCATATAATGTCTTTCTGTCTGGCGATCCAACAGGCAAGTAAGTTTAACATGTGCCAGGGGAACGGCACACGACTGGTTTTTAGGTGGGCTTGGGTCGTTTAATTCCAGCGCAAAAGATTACTAAAGCTTCAGCATAAGATATTTTGGACAGCTTTATACCCCTGACTCTACGGATACAGCTTTGTTTCTGAATGGGAAAGTTTGGTGTGGATGAACTCAACTGGTTTGCCCTAAACCCAATAGAATACCTCTGTCATGAATTATAGCGAGAGCTTAGCAAGTCCAGAGTCTGAACTCAGAAAAGCCTCTCTGGAAGATTACTCCATCAACACACTCGCATGCCTTGTGGAAAGCTTTCACAGAGTCAGCAATAGCTGCAAAGGGTGGGTAGCGGAAAACCGCGCTAAAACCTTCACATTAAACAAAGGATGTCATTTAAGTTCACATATGTACAAATAAATTGTCTCAAAACTGAGCAATAATGGATTTTAGGACATCTGCTTGCAGGTGTGCTGAGATAAATAATATAATTTGTGAGGTTAAGGTGTGATCTATCTGTATATATGTGTGTGGAACACCTAAATAACTTTCACTCTCACAACGCAATACTTTCAGATCCTAGTTTTCATGCTCATTTATTGTTAACCCATTGCATTCTGCAAAGTGATTTTCACACACACTGTAAACCGGGGGGTAAATGAGTATTTCTTGGTATGAATAACCAACACAACTAAAGCCGGGCATACACTGTGCGTTTTTTTTTCAATCCCTGCGGTTTCGTTATACAATGTTAGTTCACAGCTCACAATGTATGTTCTCATACGGTGCAACGCGACGCTCTGATGAGAGCTACCTGCTCACACTGCACGTCTAAAAACATGTTGGATTCAGCTCTGCAGTGAGATGGCGCTACTCGGACTCGTCTATCCAGAAGCCAAACGAGTAGAAGAGGAGTATGAAGCTCACTAGAGTTAAACTCGCTGCCTTGGCAATTTGTGTGCTGAAAGCCCTAAAAAGAAAATGCGTCGACGCATTTGGACAAAGACATGGCTGAGCAACGGTGGCTATTACGGTCTGTCAATTTTACAGAAAGAACTCCATTTCACTCGCATCCCCGCCATGTTTCTGTGTTTTTGTCTGACAGAAAGAAGAAGAACCCTTGTTTGCACATGCCCACTGAGCGATTTGCCCATGATGGCCGACAAAATTTCAAACATATTTGATTTTCTTCTGACCTTTCAATTCCTAAATCGGGTGGTGGTCATGAGAGGCTGATCACCCTCTGTTACCCCCTGTACACTACACGACGCACGATCAGGCTGAAAGTCTGCCCGATCGAAAAATGCTCGCACGACTCAAAAGTCGGCCTGAAAGGGCAATAAATTGCACCGTGTAAGCCCGGCATAAGCAAAGGAGGCAGCAGTACGATGCATTCTAACTGTAAGGGTTGAAAACATAGAAGCAAGTAACTCCATGTACCTCGCTCCTTTCTCCTGTTCCTGTTGTCTCTTCATAACTATTGTCTCCTATCCTCTTTGATGCCAAGATCGAGAAAAAAGTACTTCATGTCCTCTCTTTGGTTGGTTTACGCTGGAACAGGCACGCATTTATTCAAGTGCATCCAACCAGGGTCCAGATAAACTGTGCTGAGACTAGCAGCTGACAGGGTTTGATTTCAGGGGACTTGATAAGATTCACACCAGCATGATCCCCTCCAGAAATCGGACTCTGGCACGGTTAAAAGCACCATTAGAGCTGTGTTTAACATTCTTCTGGGTGTTACTTCTGTTTAATGATGGCATTAAGCTTTTTGCCACGGCTCAAACTGAAGCAACAGAAATGGGGCTTTGCATTCACTCTTCCTAGATGTTATTGAAATATTAATATCAATTATAAGGTTTTGCTTTAAAATATTCTCCACCTAACTCCACACAAATAATTACTGATCAGAGAGGTGTCTATATCGCACATGGATGCATCCCACTTTGTAGAATTCTTATCAAAACAATTTACATTTAGAAACCCTTCCAAAACTAAGTGATGAGCAATTTCATAAAAATGTATGAACCAAATGAGAAGCCTATTTCCCTTTTTTTCTTTAGGAGCAGGCGTTACACTGGAGCAGTCAGACAAAGGAAATCTAATGTGTTTTAGTACTCTCAGAAGAGCAAGGTCTTTCAGCGATACCCGATAACGAAAAGGGTTTCTGCTGAGTAAAAGAAATTTAGTAACTCAATCCACCACTGAGGGATCAGGCAGGAGAGAAGGACTGAAATTTCAAGCCTTGCAGCGATAAAAGAAGAGGTCGTCAGTCACAAAGAGATGGCGTGAAACCAGCAGCTCTGAGACCTACATGAGAAAACCCAGAGAGCAGAGCAGCAACGAGCATCTAGTGACCGGAACATAAAAGCCATATGGAGAAAATGGACAGATGGAAATGAAATAATCGGCCTCCTGCAGCTGAGTCTTCAGGAATAAACTTTATATATATATATCTGTGTGTTACATTTGCAGTAGCTCTGAGGCAAACAGGGCTTTTTTAGCCGCTCTCCTCTGCATGCACTCTGGCATACATGCAGAGGCAGAAATGTTGTGAGCTCATTGCAGAGCCGAAGGCGCTTCAGCTGTATAGCTAGAATGCAGATCAATATCAGAAAAGGAGTGGAAGGAAGAAAGAGAGAGAGAGAGATAGACAGAGCGTTAGAGAGAGAAAAATTAAGAATACCTAGGTGGGAGGGTTATGCAGCACAAAAGAGGAAAAAAAATGTAAGCGATAAAACAGCAGAGACGCCATAACGAGGTATAACGAGAACAGAGAAGACGTATAGAACGGAGAGAAAGACTGAGTGATAGAGGAGGAGAGGAGTGAGACACAGCTGCTATTGGGAAGACTGAAAAAAGAGATGCAGAGAGGAGAGGAGCACAGAAAAAACATGCCGATCAAAGAAGTTGGGAGAGAAATCAAACAATACACCCAGTAATAATCTGCTTACTTCAAGACATCTGGTCTGCAACCAGACGACGCCTCTAAGTGAAGGCTTTCCTTCTAGTAGGGCAGACAAGCTGGTTTCAGCCTTTAAGTGGTCAGAGATAATAAAGTTTCCCACCAAGACTTTTCCCAGTGTCATAAAAAAAAAAAAGTAATATTCTTAGATTAAAATTCTAAAACTTCTGTCTCCTCTTTTCAGAATTAGAAAACAGGTTAAAGCTGTATTTTGCAACAGATTGTTCCCTTACTTAAACACCCTTAGTTAGTAGACAAAATTTTACTGTCAAACCAACTTATGAGCCAAGACTCTCTTTTAGATTTGTATTTCTCTAATTGCAATACTCCACTGGATCAAAGGAAGTTCTTGGTAAGAAAAGTTCTTGGCAGAAAAAG